GCTTTTTTTAAGATTATCCTGAAGTTGTATTCCGGCACTGATAAAGCCCTTCTATTTTCTCGAGCATCAAGATCTGCCAGTGTGGAGTTTGAGTTTTCTATTGCAATGGTAAGTTTTGATATCTTTTTACTCCAGTGCTTGAGTTCATATCTTAACATTTTAAGTTTTCGGCAGAGGATTGTGGCAGCATTTGGTGAATTGACTGATCTACTCCAAACTTCAGAAACAAGCTCCATAAACCCTGGATGTTGCACCTAGAAAGATTCAAACCTAAATAGATTGCTTTTTGGTATAGATGTTTCAATGGTGACCACACAAGGAATGTGGTCAGAAACTGGCTTCCCAAGGGGTTTTACCATGGTGTTTGGGTATGACAGTGTCCAATAGTGGAGGTTAGAAACCAATCTAGTTGTTCTAGCAAAAGCTCTTGCTGCATGTTACTCCAGGTATACGCTCTGCCTTTAATTGGTAATTACATGAGCCCTTGTGATCAAATAAAATCATTGAATGTAATCATGTCATTAATGTTACCACCTGGTTTATTGCGATTAGCAGGGCTTCGAATGTAATTAAAATCACCAATTAGGAGCCAATCTTCAGCAGTAAGGATGTTTAGGTGTAATAGCCAGTTTGTGTAATCCACTCTAGGGTCACCTTGACAGGGTTCATATATATTCACAAGAGTCCATTCTTCGGCCGATTGTGTGGATTTGAATTTGATTACCAGGGCGAACTCTTCTTCAATGAGTACCATGCCAGTGAAAATGGAGCTGTTCCAAATGGTTACAATACCTCCAGAGGATCCACGAGAAGGAATGTAAGAAAAATTATCAAATCTTTTAGGACAGCAAGATTTAATGAACATATTATCAATAATAGGCTTTTTGGTTTCTTGCAAGCAAATCACAGCACAACCACTAGAGGAAATAGTGTTCGATAGAGCCAAAAGTTTAGGGTCTGAGTTCAGGCCACGGACATTCCAACAAAGTATGTTCCAGTTCGAAAGTAGAACCATTAAAAGCTAAAGTAAAAAAGCAAGGGAAATTAAGCATTGGAAGGACCACCCTCCAGATCAGCAAGAAGCACATCTTCTGAAAGTTCCTCAGGAGGAATGGCGCATTGGAGGGATCCAATCTGCTGGATCTTAGTAATTGACAGTGGCGGGGGCACTTCAGCATCCTGTTCCTCAGACATGTCAGTTATAACAACTGCAGAGGCCACACTTGGGATCACCCTCGGTTTAACTTTAGAAGTCTTGGCCTTGCTGTCGGTGATAAGAGGCACCTTAAATCCATCATACTTGTTGGAGCGACTGCTGCGACGAACCTGTGAGACAATGATTGGAGCTTTGGATTTCCCCCGTCTGTTCTTATGCACACCAACAGAAGAGTCACCGAGCACAAGTTCTGAACTAGAGAGTGTCATGCCATCAGAAGGTGTCAGCAAATCGTTTGATATGTCTTCAGAAATCTAAACCTGATCCTCATTGAGCTCAGTTAAAGTAACAGTGCTGGCCTGAACAGTGGGAGATCCATTAGTGGCCTAAAACATATTCTTGTCAGCAAAATTCCTCATTTTTTCTACAAGCCTATATGCTTGAGGTATAGTGACGAACTAACCACACTTGTGATAGAGTAGCCGTCCGACGAAGAGATGGATCCATCACTCCAAGATACCATGGCGGCGAGCTGGATGGCGGCGACGAGCAGGGGAAGGGAAGCGAGGAAGGAGAGAGGTGAGTAGAGGGGTGTGTGCTGCCGACCAGATTCCAAAAGAATATGCCGATAGAGTTAATTCAGGTGGGTATACTGTGGGTTGATAAGGGCTAAAGGCAGGGGCAAATTGCAAAAATGCGTGACGCTGACCGGCCCAACCCAGCTAACTCCACTTGGCGAGTTCTGATTGGACCAGGACCAAACTTGCACATCCATGACAAAGCTCTAGGACAAAAAATATCAGCTTTTGCAAGTTTTAGGACCTAACCATCACATGCATGACAAGTTCAAGGACCTGCGGTGCTATTACCTCATATCTCTCGTACTGGTTGCAAAGGTCGTCTTCGTCCATGCCCAGGGAGTGTATATCCTTTGTGTCAGAACGTATTGTCAGATTGGTCCTTTGAATACACATAGACATCGCACGCCGAAAACCAACTTCCAGCTTTACTCTTACTAGCACTTTATCCTAATACGAATCGTGAAGAGGCGCGCGCCGTCGATGCCGTGCGTGCAGATGCCGCTGCGTCCAGCGCTGCACTTCTCATCATATACTATTGCTCTAACATGTGGTCAAAGTTAGCCTCAAAAAACACATTATGCCCAATATATATGGATAGAGGGAGTATGTACCATGTATTATACACGGTATCATACACACCCAGTCGCATACTGTTGCGTACATGGTATCGTGTATTGTAAATTTAATATATATTTTCAATTATTTGAACACAATTTGAAAAAATGAACATTTTTTAAAAAATATGAGCAAAATTTGAAATCCAAATCAGTTTTTGAAAAATAAACACAAAAAATGAAATTCCGAACATAAATAGTGAACATTTTTGTAAACACAAACAAAATTTCTAACTTAGTTTCTTTTGCATTTCTGAACTTTTTTTTTGTAAAAATGTGAACAAAATTCGAAATTTTGAACGCTTTCTAAAAGCATGAACAAAAAAGTGATAATAATCAAAACATTTTCTACAATTTCAAACAAAATTTGAACATTTGAACATTTTTTTGAATAATTAATAAAGTTCTAAATTGTGTTCATATTTTATAAACAAAGATAAAAAATTGAAATTACACACTACTTTTGGTAAAAAAAAGTAAGCACCTTTTGCAGTTTTTGAACAAATTATTAAGATTTTAATATTTTTAGGGAATGGTTTTTTCAACATTTTTGAAATATGAATAAATTTGAAATATCAATTTTAAAAAATAAACAGTTTTTGTAATTTTCAAACAATTTTTGAAGATATGATCTTGTTTGAAAATTTGAATTCATGAAAAAACAGAAACTATATAGGCAGTAAAAGAAACAAAAATATAATTCAGGAACCTTCTAGAAGGTTTACAAAATAGGTAAATATTGGCTAGGAGTTTCCAAAACTAGAAGGAGAAAGCTATGCATACTAGTAAAATAAATTGGACCGGCCCAATTACTCGATAGGGTCGACCGTGTCTTTGTGAATCAATGACAATTTGAACACAATACAAAGATAGGCGCTCATAATCTCATATGAACATACGGTCATCCCTATGAACGCACGCACGCACATTCTCTCCTATATGAGTATCTTTTAAGAGACTGGGCTGGCAAATCATCTTGAGATTACACCTTTGTAGTTGACAAAGACGTCCCCTTACACTGAACACACATCACCGAAAGGTCTGAACTAAATTCAGAAAAATGCAAGCACCGGTGTATAGGACTCAAACCCTGCTGGGTTAGCGAGAATGGGGCTTTCTATTTTATTTTATGTTTGAGAGAAAGAATGTTGTTTTTATAAACAATATCAAAAATTTGAAATTTCACACTACTTTTGGTAAAAAGCAAGCATCCTTTGTAGTTTTCAAACAAATTATTAAGATTTGAACATTTTTCATGAAATGGATTTTTTAAGAAATTGATTTTTTTTACATATGAATAAATTTGAAATACCGAACATTTTTAAAAACAAATACTTTTTTGTAATTTTGGAACAATATTTTAAGATCTGATCTTTTTTGAAACTTTTGAATTTATGAAAAACAATAAAACAGAAACCAAAATAGCCAGTAAAAGAAACAAAAGTACCGGTTCAAGAACCTTCTAAAATGTTTACAAAATAGGTACAAATTGGCTGGGACTTCCGAAAACCGGAAGGAGAAAGCTACGCGTACTGCGGCCCAATTGCTCGATAGGGTCGACTGTGTCTGTGCAAATCGGTGACACTTTGAACACAGTACAAACACGGGCGCTCATACAAACAAACGCTCATCCCTATGAAAACACATGCACGCACACACATTCTCTTCTATATTAGCATCTTTAAAAGACTGAGCCGGCACATCATCTTGAGATTACACCTTCGTAGTCGACGATGACGTCCCCTTACACTAAACACATATCACCGAAAGGCCTGAACTAAATTCAGAAAAATGCGAGCACCGGTGTGTATAGTACTTGAATCTTGATGGTTTAGTGAGAATAGGGTTTTCTATTTTATTTCATTTTTGAGAGAAAGAATAGGGTTTTGTAGAATGTGAATCTCTGCCGCATTGGTTCACAAGAGGTCGCTGGCCGGTTCGTCAGGCTTGGCTACCGACCACTATTCTGACAGTTAGGCCCATTTCCAAATTTTGGCTCAGCTTTCCTATCCTCCTCAGTTTCGTCTTTTTTTTTACTGATGAAAAAAGGTTTCGTCGTTTTGCTTAGAAAAAGTAAATCGATTATCCTGGAACACGTACGCGTGCACACTCCGGGGAGAGGTCGAAACGTCGGCAATAGAAAGCCATATCGATCTGAAGCCCTTCACATTTCCCACTCGCAGAGTGAGACGGGACAGGAAACGAGGGGCTGCGTTCCTCTGCGCGCCCGACACGTTTCGTCGCCGACCATGAAAGTGCAGAGGGAGCTGGCAACCAGACGCAAAATCCAAACGTTGCTTCGCCCCACGCAACACCTCCGTCGCGCGCCCAAGAGGCAGCCGGCTCCTGCTCCTTGCCTGCGTGCCACCATAAATATCCTTTCGCCCACCTCCGCCATCCTTCTTCTCCGGAGGATCGATGGCGGACGCTCCGTTCCTCATCAAGACATCGGCACAGCACAGCCAGAGCCCGGGGAAACATCAGCAACAAGAACTAATTCATGTATGTACTCTCGAGGTTTCCGCTGCACGGGGTTTATATTATATCTATACGCCGTCCGCATCCATTGCCTGCTGCTGCTGCTGCTTGCAACTACATTGCCAGCTTATTCTGGGCATTTTTCTCAAGCGTTGTCAGCCTGCCTGAATCTCAGGAGCGGCCGGTGCCGGGCAATCCAAGAAATAGATCCGTCTCCACATCCACCACGTCCTGGCTCTGCTCCGCCAAGGTCGCCGGAGCAGGGGGCGCCGCCAAGGTCGCCGGAGCAGGGGGCGCCGCCAACGCAAGGTGCTGTTCCTTCTGGCACTGCACAGGTTAACCAGGGTAGCAGATCAGAGACGCATCATTTATAGGACGGGTGATCTCTGCTGGGATGCACATAGGATATCACATGAGTCATGAGGAACGCGTTCAGGGTAATGGTAAGTTTGGCCGTTTCATTCCACCAGGCAGTGATTTCAGTGTACCTGGCTATATAGTTCTTCATTGTCCTGCCGCAACTTTGTCTCCTGCTCCATGTCCATGTGACAAATCAACAACGCCATGTAAGGAACACAACACATGCTCTCTCTTGTTTCAGGTTTGCTGGGGTAGCGACGTTACCTTCTGCCTCAACGTAGAGAGCTGCTCTTCAAACCGCCGAGTCTGCCATGAAAGACAATTAAGCACCATTACATGGTTGTGTAATTTTATGCGCACAGATAGTATATTTTTACTACTCTTTCATACTGTGCTAACCTTCACTGCCCTGATGCCTAGAAGGCTTTTTTCAATTTTGAGCTCCAAGCTTTGCAGTTCTTCAATAGAGCATTCTTCCAAATTTTGACCCAAAAGTTTGCTGCATCTCAGTGATACCAGATGGTGACAACTCAGTTTTGGCTAGTTACATGGATAGCAGTCTCTTGGAAAGCCCAAGTGGTTACCTTTTGCAGGCTTCAAGAGCATCAAGCTTCTTTGACAAGCCCTCAGCATCAGCTTTTATTTTCTGCAGTTGAGGTCAAAAGGATAATACCTGAACTAAGTTAGTACTATGTATTATCAAACATGAAATAACTGCTAGAACGTACTATCGTATCATCTGCTTTTAAATGTCAGCTATACTAATTGAACTGTGCTGCTTTAGTCCATGATGGTTTTCACATTTCAGTAGCACCATCATCAGCTGGGAAATGGTTGCAAACCAAATCAAGCATTGCAAACGTAGGCTTCTCAGTGCTGCGTTGCTGACTAGTTTAATCTCTCAGTTAATACACCATATCTCACCATTTAGCTACATAAGTATCTCCAAATTGAAATTATGTAACCAAATGTGAAGTAAGCACATCAAGCAGAACTATGTACCTCTATATCTTGCTGTACCGTCTGTCTGCTGATATTATCCTTTGTGACTGTCTTATAACGTTCAATTGTGTTCTTCATGCTGAATTGGAATTTAAAATGTAAAATGTAAAATGTAAAATATATATGATATAGTAACAACAGTTAATTTAGACAAGCACAAGGCATTAAATATGTAATACTGACATAAAAAATGATGTGTGTTTCCCTTCATTGGTGTCATAAATATAGATAAAGTAAAGGGCGCGTGAAACCGTTCTACACCTCATGAGGGGTTTTCACCTTATCTATCTTGCTGTGATGATCTTGATAGAAATACAATACAGTACTTATGAAAAACAGAGTTGAACATCAACTATTTATCTACCTACGATTATCTTTTGGATATATGCAATAAGTTGGTACCCCTATATAATACCTAGTAGCCTAGAACTTGTGTAGAATTAAGTGTATGTCTTGACAAAAACACAACGACTGTGTTATATCTTAATTCAAACCTCATGGGCTTATGATTCACTAAACTTATTTGTGGACCTTCTCTTTGAGTGAGTATTCAAAATAATGTTAGTCTGTTTGATTTGCATTCTTCAGCAAACATTGTGTACCTGTCCAACTGCCGGTAAGCCAGTCCAGTCGTTGGACAAATGAGAAAAGGTAGTGCAATTGTACAACACGACGGCCTTGATTGCAAAGGTATACTTTAGGGCTAGTCAGTTGTCAATTCCAGAATAATTTACCACCCGCAAAAAAAAAATCCAGAATAATTTACTTATCCCACTATACATAGTAGAGTCGTTCCTGTAGGACCAATACTTCTATCGAGTAGTGTGATGCACCCTTAGCCCAGCCTCAACACTATGGTTTTGGTCGTCCCTGGTAAAATTTTCCAGTGTAAATTTCTGAAAACAATAATGTTCTACAGAATTCAGTTTGAATTGCAGAAAATTCACCACATTTTAAGGCCTCATGTTCTTTCAAAATAACAAATCTGCCACACAATTATGTCCTTGCAGGAAATACGAAAAATATTTTACATAGTTGTGGTTTGGTCATAATTCTTACAATAAAACCTATATGGTTTGGAAAATCAAAATTAAACTTTAATCCTACAAAAAAAGGAAAATTTTACCATAGTAGCAAGAAACTAAAAAAATATACAACATAGCTGTGATTTGATCATAGTGCTCACAATAAAACTGTAGGTCAAAGTCAAAATTAAAATTTAGTCTTGCAAAAAAGAAAAAAATTGACATAGTATGAGCATTGGTTTTGCCACAATTTTAAGCTTGAATCTTTAGGTTTGTTTCCAATGCGTAGTTGTAGTAGAAGAAATTGCACTTAAACACTCTAAACTGTCACCGCTTTCTCACTTAGCCCCTTAACTTATTTTATCTCATCTAACCGTTCATGACTTGTCTCCATAGTCACATTGCTCAAGTGTGCAACATCATGGTGTGGTGAAACCAGTAGGAGTATCAAGTTGTATTACTCAAAGTCATCGCCAATGATGATCATTTCATCAACATCGAGAAGAGCCCAACCATGGGAGGAAAGGCGGAAAAAGAGCGGAAGTTCATGATTGCTCTTTGAAAAACTAGTAGCAGTGATCGCTAAGGAGAAGAGGTCAACTCAGGAACGAGGAACTTGCTTAAGGCCATATTTAGGGCGACGAAGACAACGCATCACGGCATTAGGAAATACGTAGGTGGTGGATGCATGTAGACCTACTCATGCAACTCAACGTTAAGAAAGACATTATTGGCATCATGTTGAGGGGCAGACTAGTGGCAAACGTAAGCCACAACGAGAAGGGTACAAAAATAGTGTTCATGTGAATCGCATGAGCAAATGTCTCATTTTAGTCATGACCATGCACCTACTGCACCTACTGAAAGTCATGAACCATAAAATGAGCCTTGTATAGCTCAAGAGAACCGCTAGAGTGAATCTTAATCTTGTAGACCCACTCACTAGTGTTGGGCAGAACATGAGGAAGGGAAACAAGATCCCCACATGCCAGTGTTTTCAAGCAGGAATCTCCTCTACCAACATATGAGGCCATTCGGGAGGAACAACATCACCATAAGAAAACTTGGCTTGAGATGAGCGATGACAGAAAAACTGTAGCAATCAACGACCAAAAGCGGGCGTGAGGGCATGGAAACCATGGGTAGGAGGCGGCGGTGCATCACCGGCAGAGGATGATGAAGCAGTCAAGGAAGATAGCTCATCAGCAGAAGATGGCTTATCTGAGAAGGCGATATGTCAGAGAGGAGAGGAAGGCGTGTCAGGAGAAAATTGAGGCAACAAGCAAACAACAGTCCTAGTGAAGAATAGGAGGGGGACCACCAGGGAAGAGTCAAGAGACATATGAGCTAGGGAAGCCTTAAGTGACAAACAAAATGGGGATGTCGGCGGGTCAACAGAAGTACGTGCATACACAGTGGGGTGGATGGATCAAGGCAATACAGTAGCTACAGGTGTGTCAAGAAAAGCCAAGAAAGAAATATCATCATAGAGGAGGCCGAAGGAGAAGGGGACACTGGTAGAAAGTGTTGAAGTGTATATATGGATTGCCTAGCCTTTTTGTCAGTTTAGACTTTTGGTTCCGTTGGCTAGTGCATGAAGCTTAACATGGTATCAGAGCCCAAGGCCTTTGAGTTCAAGTCCCGACTTTTAGAATGTATCCAAAAATTGTTCTTCCCTCCTTTGTGTCCATGTATTGGTCTCTTGAGCCATATACTTCTGAGCCTATCCACGTGTTGACTTTCCGCATCACAAGTGAAAGGGGGTGTTTAAGTGTGTATGTGAATTGCCTAGCCCTGTCCACCAGTTCAAACTTTTGGTTGCATTGCATAGTCCATGAAGCTCAACAAAAAGAACACTCATCAGAAGCCACTCACCAAAAAACCAGTAGCGAGCCTACAGGGGCAGAAGCGCTCGAACCAGGCATGAGGGGTTGTCCATATAGTTAGCGACAACAATGGTGGACCATGCCATTAGTAATAGAATACCATGGTGGTGGCTGCATGTAGATTTCTTGACGCAACTTAGAACTAGGAAAGGCATTGTTGACATAAGCTTAGATGCAAACCAGTGGCAGACAAAAGCCATAGCGAGAAGGGTGCAAATAGTGGCCATGTGGTCAATTTGGAGGAAATGTCCCATCGTAATCACGACCATACTCATGCAGAAAGCCATATGCCACAAAATCTCCTAATATCTATTTGACAAACTTAACACAATTGACCCGAAGGGTCATTATCGACTTGTGCGGCCATAGTAGGATTAAGGTCACAAGGAGCGGAACAAGGCATTATGTTTATAGATAGCCATTACTCACATGAAATGTGCTTCACTCAAGATACCTAGTGTCTCACACATTGAGGCCTACCAATTCACACCTAGTTCTATCTACTCTATGTGCAGCAAGGGGGTTAGATGTTTCCAAGCAAATCGATGGATTGGACACCTCCAATCCCAAAATTTCATAACATATATCAACCTCAACCTAGAACCAACAATTACTTAGATATTAATTGCATTACAAGGGTCTCAAGCTTACAACCCATCATAGAGGCCATGATGATGTCGGTGGCATGCGATGAAGGTGGTGGCGCTGACCATATGGTCATGCCCGATGTTTATGACAACCTCCTCTCTTAGTTTTTTCTCCTTGTTCCTCCTTCAAGGACGTAAATGGATGTTGGAGATGGATGGTGAGACACAACCCCGAAATTCCTTTGGATGTGATTCAGAGGGGGATAATGAGTTGCTCCTTGGATTAGGATTAGTTATCACTTGGAGACGGTCTAAAGAACAAGTCAATCCACTTCATAGTTGATCCTCCTCCCCTCTTTTGATCGAAAGGTTGGAAGGTGAATAGAACTCTCCCAATTTCTTCATTAACTTGTCAATAATCGAAGAAAACAAACCATGCCCAAATAGGTGCTAAAATGGAAAAGTTATGGCAAATTCCATGACTTCAATGTGTGTAACACGATCGTGGATATGACCTTGGTCGTACCGTAGGTTGGCTTCATAGTGTGGGGTTTAGTATTTCATGGCCAATTGCAAATGCATTCTGATGAAGGTGATCTTGGACTCCTTGGATTGATATGACGAGCCTCATAATTTCCATGTGGTAGATATCTAGTATTGCATTTGGTGATCATAAGTTCAATAGAAATTATCTCAATTTGGTGTCACTTGTTGTGACAAGTCCATGGGAGATAAAGTCCACCAAACTACCAAACATGAAGGAAACATACTAAAAAAAATAGGTCCGTAATTTGGTTGTTTGAACCTTAGTAACAAGAAAGAAAGCAGGTACAATGCCATTGTTGCAAGGCTATGTCGCCACCACTTGTTGCCCAGTTATTTTGTATGGTATACTAACTAGATCGAGTTTGATGCCTTTATATGCATGCATATGTGTGTCCTTTGTCTCTAGAGCGCACTTTCGAACAAGATTCTCTGTTCGCCTCGCCCTACCTCTTGTGGCTTCTACTCCACTGACGCCTTGGGCATTTGCCAAGATGCTTCCCAGGTTGACAGAGATGGTGCCAAGGCTATTGTTGATGTTGTTATTGCCCTTCCGATATACCGTGAGATGGCAGCCTACACTCAAGTGGTTTGAAGATGATGCTTGTGTTGCTTTTGTTCTTAATTAGTTCTAGTGTTCTACCTCAATTTATCTTGAGTTTATGGATCTCAATACTGTTTTTCAAGATATGGACCCATCTTTAATAGCGCTACCAGCCCTCTAGTGATGTTGTATACCTGTCTGTGGTCTGACATGAGCATGCTCTTCAGCAGGGTGACTTCATTGTTGATGACTTTTACGCACATAGTTCTGCTACCTGGCACCACCTCAGTTCTCTTTGCACTACTCCTTGTTTTCTTGCCAGTGTTGGCAGGTTGTGCGGTCAGACTAGTTTCAGCGTGTCTACGAGTTATTGTCTCGACTCTGCAAGGAGTTTGAGCTGCAGTGTGCACATCTTTTAGCTTGTGGTCGTGTTTGTCTTATGGAGGCGCTTTCTTAGATACATGTCGAGGGACTGGGATTCATGGTGTTGGTTT